ATATATATATATATATATATATATATATATATATATATATATATATATATATATATATATATATATATATATATATAGGTAGAACTTATAAATCGGTCGGCCAGGTCAGGTTCAGGTTCGATCACTTCGAGTTTGGGTTATTTTGGGTTCGGGTCAATTCGGATTGGGGTTGAGATTGTATGTTCATGACCCAGTATCACCGGGTTCGAGTCGACCCAACGGGTTATGACTTTGGTTTTTTAAATTTTTAAATTGACATTAAAACTTACATTTTCTATTAAGTAAATTTAAAATATCAAAAAATATGTACTAAATCTATTAGATTATTCTATTTTAAATCCTGAAATTTTTTTAGATATATAAATCAATACAAGGAATTTAAAAAGAAATATTTGCACTAAATAGCACTAAAACTTAAGTCATTTCCCTAAATAGCACTTAAATTATTTTATTCCCTAAATAGCACTTAATAATGTCCATAATGTCCTGTAATGGCGAATATTTACTTGAATAATGACTAATGCATAATGACTAAAAGTGCTACATTGGGAAGAAAAACACATGTGATGCCATTTAGGGAAAGTCATTATGTTTTTGTGCTATTTAAGTAAATTTCTCATTTAAAAAATGCTTAAGTTTTAGAAAAAGTACGATAGTTATGCAATATCATTAAAATTTTGTCTGAAAATATAAAATTATACATTAAAAATGAGTAGTAAAGTGTATGATTTTGAAAAACTCTTACTTTAGCGGGTCGGTCAGGTTGGGTTCGGGTTCGATCAGGTTTAACCCATTTTTAGGGGGTCATCAGGTTCGGTCAACTTTGGTTCGGTCATCAAAACGTTTATTCAGAACCCAGTATTTTCAGGTCATGTTTCGAGTCAAAAACAGGTCAGGTCATTTTTTGTCAGGTCTATATATATACTCAAAAATGTGGGGGTGACCCCGTAGAATATGAGCAATGATAAGTAAGAAATTATATGGAATGCCAAACGATAATGTGATATATAATGTACGTGACAGTGACAATGTGGTGAGTGAACTCTTATTTTGGTATTTTTATAATTTTGTATTCTTGTCTTGAGAGTCTTCCCATTTTCAAAATATTACTTTAAGTGATTAATATACAATATATTTTATTTAATGATATGTCAAATGTTAAAAACGATTGACCGAAAAACTCATAACGGGACAAATTTGTCAAGGATAGAGATGGTAGTAGTGTATGAATATTTGAAGAACTATTACAACATATTTGCAAAAGGATGGATGGATATTTGAAGAACTATATTACAAAACCATATTAAACAAAGGCATGGATGGTCTAGAGGACGTGCAAAGTGGCCAATCGCATAGGGCCCTTAATTTTTAAAACCTCATATTTCTAAATTCGTCATTAATTCTAAAGCATAAGTATTCTAATAAAATAAAATAGGACCTAAAATGTAAATTTTGGACCGGACTAATGTTATTTTTTCATTTTTTGGGGCCGGCCCTGAACAAAGGAACGTGGAAACAAAGATTACACTCAAAGAATCCATCCATATATATAGCATTTATACTTTGGCATTCATGGCTCGGATCTATTCAGATGTCATACAATAATTTCTTGAAGAGTGGCAAATGTTCACCATCCAAACACACCGCTAAGCTCAAAGTCCGGTCCTTGCTTGGGCTTGGCAATATGTACACCGTCCCTTCATACAGAATGGAGGCCGGTCCCATGTGGACCGGCCTTCCCCAGCCGAAATCCGCCTCGTGCACTGGCAGCCTGGTCCAGCTGTTGATGTTGAGGTTTGGGCTCGCAAAGTAGGTCGGGCCCCGCACGAGCCTAGACAAGTCCTTTTGGCATTCTAGGAAGTCGAGAGCCGACCTTAGGTACTTGTCTTCCATCCTCGCCAATGCAGAGTGGATTCTCTTGGCGGAGTTCGAGAGCGATTCGCTTTGGAGGTCGCCAGATTCCGCCATCGGCGTGGCAGTGAACACCACATTGCCTAAGTAGCCCGGAGGGAGAGGCGGGCACAGGCGGGCCCGGCCGTCTGTAGCCACGTAGAGCTTCGTCGGTTGGTCGTCTGGCAGCCCACGGGCCTTGCAAGCGCACCGCCACACGTGGGCCGCCAGGACCTCGTACGTGCTACCCTCGTGCTTTGACTTGGCTTTGAGAAGGGCAAGTTGGTCTGGAGTGATCTTGAGCATGGCGGTCATAGGGGCGTGTTTGGCTTCCGAGGAAAGCACGAGGAGCTTTGGAGGGGAGCTGTACTCGCCATGCAGGAATGTTGGGGCCGGGGGGTCCCGAGCACGGAGGAGAGTTCGGTCGATGAAAGGCGGGACCGCGACCGAGAGGCCCCGAGCAATGTCCGACCACGTGTTGATGAAATGGAGTGAGGAAACGCCATCGGATAGCGTGTGGAACACCCCCGTTCCTAGACACACTCCACCGCACTTGAATCGTGTAACCTATTAGGGATCAATAACCAAAATAAATACGAAATATTAAATTAAATAGCACTAAAATATAAGTCATTTCCTAATGTAGGACTTAAACTTTTTTTTTCTAAATAGCACTTAATAATGTATAGAGGAGGAATAATATCCAGTGATGGTGAACATTTACTTGAATAATGACTAATGGATAATGATTAAAAGTGCTACATTGAAAAATAAAAATATATAATGCTAAGGAAAGTCATTATGTTTTAGTACTATTTAGATAAATTCTTCAATAAATAAAGGTGTAAGTCATACTCTAATATGTAGTCGACATACTCTATATTAGTCTTTTTAGAGTTTGTTCTATTCCACTTTTTTTTACCCTGGAGTATTACTTATTTTTATTAAAATTAGATAAGATCAGAAAGAGTTTTAAATACAATTAGAATATACTAGATTAAATCAGAATATATTCCAATTAGGTGAAGCGAACAAGTCCATAATATGAGTGAATGTACTATAATTAAGACGTGTTTAATAATGAATATTATATTCCTTTGCAGTACTCCATTTATGACCCATTGTGGCATAGTAAAGCTCATTTCAGTCATTTGTGGTCTGGTCCAAATAACTCAACTAGTGTATATTTCATTTATGACCACTAACTTAGTACATCCTCTCTCCTGAAGTGTTCTTCCCCGTTATTATTCACATAATCAAATTTTAATCATTTTTTACCTATTCTCAATAGTTATTTGCTAAAATAATATAGTATTGTACATCTTATTTTGTAGAACTTTTGATGTAGTTTTTAAATATATAAATTTTATTTTTTTAAATTTGCATCTACAATCAAATAAATTTAATTGAAAATAAAGTTGGTTAGACCTCATAAATAAAAATAGAAAGAATATTTTAAGATGGAGGGAGAAATAATTTATTGTAGTTGGAATTTTTATTCTAAAGGAGTCTAGCTACCCATGTTACTACTTTTAAAGAAGTGCCTGCTTGGTGCAGAAATTTAGAGTAGTTGACCTGGATGACTATTTTAAACATCAAACATATCATGAGCATTAGGCTCCGTTTGGCAGCATTATATTGTTTCTCTATATCACATATCGAACTTGTTTTATACTCTTCTATATAAAGAAAATAAGTGACTACTTTTTGTAACATGCAAAAAGGGAAAGTGGAGGGAGTAACATGTTTTAAAGTCACAAATCATAAGAACTTTAAACCTACTTATTTATTTGGTTGAAATATGGGTGTTTGGCAAAGAGCTACTCCCTCCGTCTTAGAGTATTTGTCCACTTTCATTTTTACACACCATCCAATGCATTTTTTTAATCCATTTTATCTTGTAATTTGTATATTAAAAAATTATAGAAATTATATATTAATAATCTATATTTTAAGACAAATCAAACAAGATCACACATGACTATATTTAGACTTACACATTGAGAGAATTTGATGAGTCAAAGTACTTAGATGAACAGTTCCAAAAGTCAAAAATGGACAAACAAAGCGGGACGGAGGAAGTATTTGTGAAAAAATGGTTTTTTTAGCTAAAGAGTAGTTATAAGGATTCCTATTTCAACACGGAGAATAGCTTCATTTAACGTTAACGTTTTCGATAATTCTTTAAATTAACTTGAAAACAACTAGATTAAAGACTATTATTGGATAGCATTGACAACCATAGATTTTTACAAAAAAGATTGTTTTACAAAAAAAAAAAAAAATTGCTATGAGGATTTGGTAGCCCTAATTTTTACTTGGATTAGAGAAAGCTTGTTTTTTTTTTCAAGCTTTTGAGCAGCTTTTGTTGGAATTTTGACACATACTTCTGTTGGACTTTTGAATATTATTACCTTATCTGGACAAAAGAACAAAAGTGTGTTTGGAAGCTCAAAAGAACTGGCATACAATTCCAAGTGTTTGGGGTACACCTTTTCTGAAAATGCATTCCGAAATTGGTAAAAACAAAAAAAAAATGTTTCAGCTCCAACACAAACCTTCCAAAGCCAGAATCTATTTACACAAACAGTTTTGGGTATAAAGAAAGTAAAGTGCAGCAGACTCACAAACAAAGACATTCATATTATTCTTCTTGTGACAGATCTAAACCATATAGATTCATATATATATATATATATATATATATATATATATAAAGATTAATGATAAACCAGAGAAGATGGTACATACCTGGAAAATGGTGAGTGGGAAAGAAGAAATGTTCCCAGAAGTGTCAACAAAAGGGATGAAGTTTGTTTTGAGGTCCAAAGAAGGGACAAAATCCCCAAAGTCGTCAAGAGAGGCATCAGTTTCAGCCTCAACAAACAGAGCCCCTTCTCCATTGCAGTCGATCTCCAGCCTCCCCTGCTCGTCGTCCCTGCCCAGCCTCCCAGCCATGGGGTAAAACCAGACCAGAGCCCTGCCCAGAGCCTCCTTCATCACCCCGGGCTCGAAGAAATCCGGGCACCCGTTTGGCGGCCGGTAGAAATACACCGTCAGAAGATGGATCCTCCCCACAATCAGGTCCAGGTTCGAGCTCCACAGCCTCCTTGACGGCGTGGGTTTCGCCGGCTTCACCGTCGTCGCCTCCTTTATCCTGATCTTCACCTTCTCATCATCGCCGCCCGCCATTTCTTTCTTTCTTTTTTTTCTTTTTGTGTTTGGAGGTTCAAGAAGATCAAGAATCAAGATTCTTGCGGCAAAAAGATGCAGTCTTTGAAGATGGGAGAGAAAGAATTGGGATTTGGGATGAGAGTTATTACTCCATTATTTGATGGATATGACTTTTGCCTGCAAGTAGAGATAGCCAAAGGGAGAGACTCATAGACTAATAAATATGCGTGATACGTCCTGTTTGGTACTTTGGAGAATAGGGGCGTTTGAATATGAAGAATTTTTTTAAAAAGAACTACTCCATCCGTCTACAAATAAACTTTACGTTGCGCGTTACGATATTTGACTGAAGTTATTTTTAAAGCATTTTATATGAAAAATGGTGTGAAATTTTAAAATAAAAATCACATATTAAAAAACTATATCAAAAGATCTACAAAACTAGAGGTGACATGACTATATTATTTTATCAAATTGGTAACAAAAATAGGCCAACAAAGTGAATAAAGTTTGACCCTGTGAATAGTGAACGTAAAGTTTATTTGTGGACGGAAGGAGTAAAATATAATGATTTTCTCAACATAGAGTCATATATTTTTATTTCTTAATGTATGATCATTTTCCATCATCTATTATTCATTATTAATGTAAATGTCGACCATCACTAGACAACATTTCTCTCACTAGACATTATTAAATACTATTTAAGAAATAAAAAAATTTAAATACTACATTGAAAAATAACTTATATTTTAGTCCTATTTAGTATAAATTTTTTAATATTTATAGGGTCATGGATAATGACCTCACTGCCTATTGAAAAAATTAAACTTGAGGAATCCTTTTCTTTTCACATTGTATGAAAATACTCCATCCCTTTACATTCTTAGCAAAGAAAAAAATATCACATCAACAAAGCTCGGAATTCCAACCTTTTGAGATCACGTTTTCTCACAAACACCTACTCTCCTCGTCCCAAAAAAATCACAATATTATGCCGAATAGTATAAAAATAAAAAATAAAATTTATATATTTAAAAAACTATGTTAAAAGTTCTACAAAACAATATGTGATAAGAATATTTTATTTTATCAAATAATCAATAAAAACATAAAAATAAAAAAAAGTTTTCGTAATTTTTGAATAGTAAACTATGACCATCTTTTTGGGATAGAAGGAGCATAAAACAGTGCCTACAAGGCTACGACAATTGTTGATACTCCCTCCGTCCCAAAAAGATTTACACCTTTCAAAAAAATTGCGTCCCACAATCTCGTACTCATTTCTATTAAAAAACCACTTATCATTACTTTTTCAAACCCTACCTATCACATCATACCTTTTTGCTTATAATCTACACATCACATCCTACTTTTACACATCAAATCAAGGTTATATTTGGAAAGTCAACACAAAATTATCCCTCCTTTAATTTCCACTTTAGCCAAAATGTGTAAAACTTTGTGGGATGGAGGAAGTACTTGATACCACGCACATGTAATTATTATGTATGTGTATTACTCAGAAATATGCATGGTGTCAAAGTCGTAAAAAAATAATACCCTCTCCGTCCCTAAATAGATTATAATGTTTTTTTCTCTCTCCTCTCGATAATTTTTGTTTGTTTACGCGGTTTCATTAAGTATTTGATAAAATAAAATATTCTTGTCACCTCTTGTTTTGTAAAACTTTTGATGTAGTTTTTTAATATGTAATTTTTATATCTTATTAATATACCAATTTGTAAATAAAATGATTTCAAAAAGTAGAAAATTTTAATCCGTTATAATACTCTGTATTAGCTTCACACGATACGATTACTAAAATACTCCCTCCGTCCCACTGTCTTTGTCCACTTACCTTTTGGCACACCATCCAATGCACTTCTTTAATCCATTTTATCTTGTAATTTGTATATTAAAAAATTTTAGAAATTATATATTAATAATCTATATGTTAAGACGAATCAAATAAGATCACACATGACTATTTTTAGGCTTACACATTGAGAGAATTTGATGAGTCAAAGTGTTTAGATGAACAATTCCAAAAGTCAAATATGGACAAAGACAGTGGGACGGAGGTAGTAGAATGAGTGAACTAGTAATGATAATATAAAATGGGTGCCAATTGGTAAAATAGACTATACGTAAAAAATCAGTACTCCAACTAAAACAAAAAAAAACAAAAAAGATGAGTCTCAACCTCAAGAGTCCCCTCAGGCCCGGCCGGACGGCCCTGAAAAGAGGTAAATTAGACTTTTATCCTAGATTAGTGGCAAAGAGTAGAGCCTGCACCCGATACTTGCAGAGGCCCTATGCTTAGCATAATTGCCTCCCAGCACAGTTACCAGGAATCGAACTCGGATCTTACCCTCTTGGTACCGCCCCTTGTCTTGCCAACTGCGCGACACCCACCGGCCCAACTAAAACAACAAAATTAGAGATTGTACTTGACAGATATGAAACATGTACCCAAGTTAGTTGTTTAAAATGCTTTAAATGACTCGATTGAGATACAAGAAAGAGCCAGCCAAACCACATCCAAGGAGGTGACTGTTCATGTAGCCATGGGTACGGGACCAAAGGTTTGTCGTGGTCCTAGTCTTGTTTTTAGTAACGGTCGGGCAAAACAAGGGGTGCCAAGGAGGTAAGACATGAGTTTGATTTTTCGCAACTGCACTAGAAGGCAATTATATTATACATAAGACCTCTACAAGTACCAAGTGCAGCCGTGTAGACTCCACTCTTTGCTACCAATCTAGCAATCTGCAATTAAAGTTTAATTTATCTCCTCTTATTGATCGTCTCGTACCTTGCAATCCATCATAAATCAAGTTAGAGAGTATAATTGTCGCTTGTGCATGAAGGACAAAGCCATAATATATGATTGTTGGACACAATGAATAAGTTACAAATATTAAGTGGAGTAGTCGATTTATTTCATTTATGTTACCTTTAAAGGTACAAATATTAAGACCCAACCCAAAAACGAGTACTGGATATAAATAATAAGGGACATAGGAACACTAAAATGATTTAAAAGATATTAAAAGAATAACAAAAATTAGAAACAACTAAATTTATAAAAAATAATGAAACACAAAGTTAATTAATAAAAACTAACTTCACAGCGGTAAGAAATAAAAATATACAGAGTGGTGGTTCTAACGTTTAAGGCACAATAATACAAGGTATTAATGTATAATGGGAAATTTACTTAAATCAGACTAAAACATAATGACTTTCTCAATATAGGACTATATGTTTTTATTTTCTAATGTAGGACCACTGGTCATTATCCATTATTAGTCATTATTCAAATAAATGTCCACCATCACTGGACATTATTTCTTCTACTAGACATTATTAAGTACTATTTAAAGAATAAAAAAGTTTAAGTCATACATTAGGAAATGACTTATGTTTTATATTTAATGCAAATTTCACATGTATTATTGCCTATCGTTGATAAGAAATGAATATAAAAACAAAAACTAAAATAAAAAAATTTTTCTCATTAAAACTCTAAAAAAATGAAATTAAGGAATAAAAATATTATTTCCTTCATTCAACATAATTTCATACTCCCAAAAATTCCTTCCCCTTTCTTTTTTTTTCTTGTCCCACAAAATCCTTCTCTTTTCTATTAAAAAAATACTTTTATCCCTACTAATTCTTAACCTATATATCACATGACACCTTATTCTTACACACTCCGTCCCTAATTTGATTACAAAATGAGAATTACGATGTAAAATTTTATGAATTTTGAAATCATTTTATTTATAAATTGGTACATCAATAAGAAATAAAAATTGCATATTTAAAATTACCTCTAAAATTACACAAAATAAGAGGTGACAGAAATATTTTATTTTATCAAATATCAATGAAATCACACAAATAAAAAAAGTTATTGAGAGAAGAGAAAAAATAAAATTGTAATCAAATTAAAATAGAGACCGAGGGAGTAATAATCTATATATCACATCATATTTCACCCATCACATCAAGTGATCAAGAATATTTTGGAAAGTCAACACAAAAATATTTTTTCTTTAAATTTCCTAAAAGTCAAAATGAGAACATCTTTATGCGATAGAGGAAGTATTAGTTATTTCTTAATAAAAAACTAATTTTTATTTCAATATTTTTGAAGCAAGACTAATCTTTAAAACAGAAAAGAAATGATTGAGGTAGAACATTATTTTTAAAACTTAAGGGAAATTTCAAAATAATTAAAAATAAAAATGAAAGTTTATAAAATAAATCTCCACTTTCATTTTATTGCGCAAAATAGAGCATTTTCGTTGATCATCAACCGTTAACGGCTTAACATCGACCCAAAACACCCATATTTCGGTAAAATGGGTTAATAAGATTATTGTGCATGACACTAAAAGTTGAGATTATTTTTGAATGACTAAGTAAAGATACGACTGTTCTTGATATTTTTTATCACAAAATTACTCCCTCCGCCTAAAAAAGAATTACACTTTTTTCAACTTTTATGATGTAGTTTTTAAATATATAAATTTTATTTTTAGTTAATATGCATATCTAAAATATAATTAAATTTAAAATTTCAATTTAATTTGGGTAAAGTATAAAATACGGAGTATTTGAGGAAGGATGGAGTGACAAATTCAGTTCCGTATTCCGTATATTTTGATGGGTTTAGATTGGACCGACAAAAGAATGCAGCGCACTCTCTTCCAAACAAAGTCTTCTAGAAGCCTTCCATTCATTTTCGTTCCACGTGTTGCATTTAGAGAGAGAAAAAACAAAACAAATTACTAATTGCTCGTAATTTGAATTGTCTTTGGGTTTTGCATTTACCGGTAGTGTCTCTTTCAAATTAGTTTAGTGTTTGAAATTTATTTTTTTTCCTTCTTTTTTTCTAATGGTTATATTGATCACACATTCAAATTCAACTAACTCGATTCTATGTCATGAAACCTAATTGGGATTTACCATTAGAATCAAACACAAGCACTAATATCACGAAATCAAATATGCCAATTTTCTATGATACTCCCTCCGTCCCAAATTATTTGCCACATTTGTATTCCCGAGTCAAAATATCAAGTTTTTAGAATTCATTTTATTTACATATTGGTAAAGAAATAAAAAATAAAATTTACATATAAAAAAACTATATGAAAAGTTCTTCGAAATAAGAGGTGTCAAGAATATTTTATTTTATCAAATAATCAATGAAAACGTCGAAATAAACAAAAGTTCCCGACACTGGTGAAAAAACAAATGTTGTGAATATTTAGGGACGGAGGGAGTAACATGTAAACAATTAATCCAAAAGT